ACGCAGTGGATGCCCTTTCTAGTACTGGAAAACACCCATACACTCTCATTCTCACACTACAGCCAATTTAGTTCATCCAAATGCCAACTGGTCTAGCCAGGACTCAAACAGCGACCTTCTTGCTGTGAGGCGACAGTGCTAACCACTGAGCCACTGTGCCCCTAAGTAAAGTCAACTGATTGATAATTTACTGTGTATCGATGCCTTAGTAAAACAGTTTGTGGTTCTTATGAACAGCTACTTAAAAAGTTATTTTAAAAGTTTTGTTGCTTACACTTCTTATGCAGGTCAAAACAAATGAGCAAATTTGAGGGTTAAAAAACATGATAGTTTGCTGTTTCGCGGGCTGCTGTGGTGAAAAAAAAAATTAAGTAGGATGAAGGGACTAACCAGTAGCCAACTCTTACAGAACATTTGAACAAATATTTTAAAAGGATTGACGCAGGATTGTTCACCTTTTTGGTGTACAATTATTTAAATGAACATTTTAATGATCTAAAGTGCTTTTTTCTATTAAACAGAACAGAATAAACTAGTTTTGTGGATGTTAAAGGTTCTTCATGAAGGCATCAATGCCAATAAGGAAACCTTTATTATTAGACTTGATGACAGAGTGACATTTTTATTTGTTAAGCAAGAAGTTTCCCTGATTTATCTGAATGTTCATATCATTTGGAGCAGGATTGGAGCAGAAGTCAATCTGTTTGTCCGGAAGTTATTAGATCAATCTCTATTTGTATCTTTGCTCTTTCTTCAAAAATTTCAGGAGACATTTCATTTCTGGTCTATTCCAGGTCTAATTATTTAATTTGATTCGTAAGATAATTTATTTGCTGGTTTCTTTTTTTTTTCTTTTCCACAATGTAAATGAAATTATTTCCCCTCTAATGTAAATTTTTAAAGACTCCCAAACTGTAGATTTACTAAACCTACAAAGGCTGAATCAGAAAGAATAAAGTTATTAAAGCGCCATGTCTTCCGAATTGGTGACTTGGGAAATGCTAGTTTTACAACTGGGCTATGATCTGAGATTACAATACATTCATATTTACAATCAGTAACAGAAGTTAGCAGCTTATCATCTATCAAGAATGAATCGATTCGAAAGTATAAAAGATGTACATGAGAAAAAAAGGAGAACTGCATCAGATTTGGATAAACGAAACGCCAAGAATCAAAAAATGTATAGATCTCTAAAAAAGTATCAATGAACATCAATTAATAAACATGGCGGATTTGCCATTTTTGAAGACCGGTCTAAAGTAGAGTGAAACACAGTTAATATCTCCCCCACAGAGTGACATTTTTAAGTGAACACTTTAAAAGTGAAGGTCATTGTCATGCAGCTGATAATGCAAAAGCACTGTGCTTCTCCCAGGTGAACAAGCAAATGATTTTAACCACATTGCTCCTCGGCAAAAATCAAATCAAACTTCCCTGATGCAAATAGTTAATCTCTAAAACCTCAAACCGGAGATGTTATTTACTTAGGGATAGTTCACCCAAAAATAAAAATGTACTCAATGGTTAGTAATTTTCAACATTTTTCAAAATATCTTCTTTTGTGTTTGACAGAAGAAAGAAACTCCAACAGGGTGTGTTAAGTGTGTAATTTATTCATTTTTGGTTGAACTATATCTGTTAAATTGATAAAACCTAATTACAAAATAAAAGGTGAAACCTGCTAAATGTTGGCACATACCTTTTCCTGTCCTGATATTAGCAGGGATGCCGTATGTCTGTCCTCAGACTTGCTGTACCCACTCAGCTCCTCCTCATGTATTTATTTCTGACCTATCAAATCCTTTAGTTTAAAACCAGCTGACGAGGCAAAAGTACAAAATCAGGCAAAGTCCTACAATCAATTCGCTACTCATGTTACTACTCGTCTCTCAACCCTTCTCTTTCATTGGCAAGTCCATTTAGTTTCTGTCATCAACCAGCACTGAAAGAAACAACAATAAACGCCTTTAATGCCGTTCTAAATATCGTGTTTTGTTTACATGTCTCAAAGATTTGGACATTGAATGAGTTTGGAAACCTCCTTGCCAACATTATTTGCATGGCATGCAAATTACAAAACAAAGGAGCCAATGTCACCTTGTTAACATTTAAATAAAGAACAAAAAACAATGATCAAATAATAATAATCACAATAATAATATTATTATGGTACAGTGGCTCAAGGGTTAGCACTGTCGCCTCCAGCAAGAAGGTTGCTGGTTCCAGTCCTGGCTGCCTCAGTTGGCATTTCTGTGTGGAGTTTGCATGTTCTCCCCGTGTTGGTGTGGGTTTCCTCTGGGTGCTCCTGTTTCCCCCGCAGTCCAAAGACCTGCACTATAGGGGAATTGAATAAATTTATTTTTTTGTAGTGTAGGCTATGTGTGTGTGTGTGTGTGTGTGTGTGTGTGTGTGTGTGTGTGTGTGTGTGTGCGTGTGTGTGTGTGTGTGTGAATGCGAGAGTGTATAGGTGTTTGCCAGTACTGGGTTACAGCTGGAAGTGCATCCGCTGTGTAAAACACATGTCGGAATAGTTGGCGGTTTATTCCACTGTGGCAACCTCTGAAATAAGGAGTATGTCGTAGAAAAATGAATAATAATAATAATAATAATCATAATAATAATAATAATAATAATAATAATAATGCAACCATGATTTGGGCGTCCCCAGTTCAAATCATATGACAAAAAAAAATAAAAATAAAAACATGAAATGAATAGAGATTCCTTTACAAATCAGTCATATACAATTTATGGGTTATTTTCAGTTGATAATATTCATTCCTTCATTTTCTTGTCGGTTTAGTCCCTTTATTAATCCAGGGTCGTCACAGCGGAATGAACCGCCAGCTTATCCAGCATGTTTTTACGCAGCGCATGCTCTTCCAGCAGTAATCCATCTCTAGGAAACATCCACACACACTCATTCATATTCATACACTACGGACAATTTTAGCATACCCAATTCGCCTGTACTACGTCTTTGGACTGTGGGGGAAACCAGAGGAAACCCACACGAATGCAGGGAGAACATGCAAACTCCACTCAGAAACACCATCTGACCCAGCCAAGGCTCAAACCAGCGACCTTCTTGCTTTGAGGCGACAGCACTAGCTACTGCGCCACTGCGTCATCTGTTCGTTAATATTTAATATAAATATTTAATGGTACAGTAAGAATTAGCATTTTTATTTTTAGCGTGCATAAACAAAACAAAATAAAATTGCTTCTCCTAGGACCAATGAAAGCTTTTGTTTTTAAAGGGTGTTCATGGAACCCTCAATGCCAATAAAGAAGTAACAAAAGTAACAATTTGACTTTAGCAAAGTAACTTTTCTTACCAAAGTAACAATTTTAAGGTGCACACGGCAAAGGAAAAGGTAATGACGTAGGAATCAAAATCTTCAAGAGGGAGAAAGTCAAAACAGCATGATGCAAACATGTTTTTTTCTGACTAAATATAAAAGGCCTTAAAGAATTAGTCACCCTGAAATGAAAACTGTAATTACTCAACTGTTGAATACTTTCAGGAGAAAAGGACGAACAAATTCATGTTTTCTTTTTTTTTGGTGCACAAAAGTGTTATTGGAGTTTGTTCTGTCATGGTTGAACTACTGAATTAAGTCACGTGGACTGTTTTGACAATGTTTTTGTTTTCTTTTCTGGCCATTGAGACTCTTACCACTGTTTATATGGATCCGAGGAGAAGTCTTCCTCATTATAGTGTTTATATAAAAGTGATTATCTTTATAATGATATAAATTGTAGTTATGTGTATATGAAATTACAAATAAGATGTAGCAGGACATCAAATTACTATTTCAAAACTTTTTTTTTGCATTTTAACTTTGTACACTGAAACATCATGGGCCTCATAGTTTGTCTCATTTTGTGAGCCAACTGACAGCAGTTGTTCCCTTCCCTCTTTCTCCCTTGCTTTGCCGACTACACCCCTCCTCCCTCTGGTTTCAGCATTCCACTCCCATGAAAAAAAAGAAGATGAGGACGTCTTGAAGAAAAAAAAACAGTTTTATTCCAGAATAGTAGTAATAAAGTGAGGACAACACTTCGGATTCAGCAGAGTTGGAAATAAACCCGATCATCCTCCATTTAAACATTTTATACTGTTTCTTCCTGCCTAACATGGTAATAAGCTTTCGCTTTGAATGTACTGTAATTAAGAATGGCAATCCCAGACCTTTCGGTATACCCGAATTACATGTTAATAAGGTTTCGCTTTAAATGTAAATTGAGAACAACAATAAAAGTGATACTCTTCCATTCCCAGATCTTGGGTAGATTTTCAGCTGAGAATACCAACTGTTATGATAAATGAGGTTAAACAGAATTCCTTTTGGGCATTAGATGGTTCTTGATGGCTCGCTGCCGCTCCCATGCTACAAGAAGTGAATTATCATTCCAAAGGCATTATTTAAATGCTTAAATACTTTATTTGAGGAACTCTACTCTCTGTGATAATTAAGCTCTTTGTTGAGAAAGGAGCATGAAACACTTTTTTATTATTCTGAGGTAGACTTGAACTAAAAGAGGGGGGATTTGTTACCCTTTAAATCTTCGTTACATGCTATGTTTGGATCCACACTTTGCTTCACACTACACACTGAGCCGTAACAGAAACAAATTTGAGTTTTGACTTTGAACCAAAAAGTTTGACATTTTGTTTTTTGTTATTCCCAAAACATATATATATATATATATATATATATATATATATATATATATATATATATATATATATATATATATATATATATATATATATATCAATGTAACATTTAAAACCACAGAAAAATCACAAGATCAAAATATACATTTATAAATAGTTTTAACATTTATTAATTAATAAATTACTTTTTTTATACATACAAATAATAAAACTGAGTGAATTTAAAAACGTTATCTGCCATAAAAAATACACATGAAGGAAATATACAACAACAAAAGTGGAGCATAACCATCTTTTTTACATTGCAAATCAACACACAGCCAACTCATGGGCGTTACATAGGCTTGTTTACATCATTCCAAATCTCTATTAGCTGCTGTGGGGATCCGAGGATTGTCGTAATGGCCCTGAGAAAATTCTCCCGTTTATATTGCCCCATATAGATCCTGAACTGAGAAGGTTCTGGTGGAGATGAAGGCTCAACGCCCAACTGTTTCAAACAAGCTCCAATATATGCGTCTTCTATGTTAAATGGCTTTACATAATTGGAAGCCTCCACTATTTTTGATGGCAGGTCATTAGAGAAAACATATCCCATTCCCAGCAGATATGTAGGGTATTTTGGTTCGGGGTAAAGCTCCTCTGAGACGTACCATTTTGAGTTTTTGTTCCTGACAACAAATCGGTTACGCATTAACACTCCAGTTATGTAGTTTTCTCTGGGTGTATTGGGAGCCGATAGAAGAGTCACCAGGTTATTAACATTTAAGAACATGTCTGAATCAATCTTCATACTGTAATTCGCTTGAGGGCATCGAGTGGCCAACCAGTCCATGATCACCATGGTCTTTATGGTCAGGTTGAAGTAGGAGTCCACAAAGTTGCTCTGGATTAAGTCTCTGTGTTGTCGGCTCTCTTCCTCCAGCTGCTGTTGAGCTTTTTCAGAGTCTGCTCCCACAGTCAAACCCACCAAAAACAAAGTCAACACTGCTTTCCCCTGGACTGTCGTTTCATTCCCCCATGTGCTCCGGATGGCATTTCGAGCCTTTACCTCATAGGGAGCAACAGGAACCATCAAGACCAGGAACGGATTTCTCTGTTTACATATATCAGGTTCATCCAGCGTGAAATAATAGTTGAGTGGATGAGCCACGTGATGATGCTCTGAAGTGTTTTGAGTGGCTCCTTGTTGATTATTTATGGGAGTGGGTGCTGAAAACATAGTTTGATTGTCAATAGAAGAAGCGGACTCAGTTACGTAATAGGAGGGTATCTGATTTACCACGGTTTCATACAGGGTGTCAGGAGCAGCAGCGGACTTGAGAGAGAAATCAGAGATGTAAACAATGATGGACAATAGGAACGTCAATGCTAGCAGCAGAATGAATCCGGTTTTAATGTGACACCTGTTTGGAACTCGATCCTGAGCCAAGCTGCGTCTAAAAGAGAGACAGAAACTATTATTCTGCTTATCCTATGGATACCACACCTAAAGTCATTGTTCAGATGTTGTATTTCAAGACATTTGTCTGGTTTTGGTCCTCAAAATTGCTTCTGCGGCGATGCTAGTTTCTAGTTTTCCTATTTCTAAATGTTTACTGTTTTAGGCTGTGAAGTAACTTAAATCATTTGTCGTACATTAAAAATGGTAAAAAACTGGCAACTGTGGTTCAACGGAAAGCATAAAGAAATTGTAAAAATGAATGGTAAACTACATTATTTTTAAAATGTACAGTGTTTTTAAAGTACAAAACTAAAGAAAGTAAAAAAACTTAAGCTGTTAACCAAGTTACAGATAGTTCCTGTATTTGTACAGTGTTTTACCGGTAAAAACACTGCTTTTTTTATAGTGTAGTAGTGATATGTAATGCTGTAATGTGGCCAAACCTACCCAGGACTATAGTTTAGATGTAGTTTAGTTGAAGATGAAGATAATCACACACCATCATCAACCTAATTAACCATTTAACAAAGTGCTTGATTTAATTTATAATTTAATCAGGGGTATATGTTGAGACAATGTAAATAAATGAAATGCATCGTCTTGGTTAATGTAAACCAAGTATAAAAAATACATTAATTACCAAAACTGAGTGTAATTATTCTTTATTTCTATATCAATCTGTTCGCTTGTTAAGTGTGATGCGAAGCTGCTTTCCGGGTCCAAGTGCTCTATCAAACTGTATGGGGAGACTCGTGAAATGCTAATAATAAACATTTACAAAGCGATGTAATACTTTCGAAAATCACGATTGCAATATATATGTCCATACCTAATATCCGATGGCCAAAAAGTGATTCTTTTTTTTTTTTTTTTGTTAAATTGTAAAAATTTTGGTATTTGTAATGCAGCAAGCCCAGAGATTGTTGTGCACATTATGACTTTCTATAAAATTCCCTTTAATGTGTGACATGAACAAAAAGTGGTCATAAACTAATTTTTTCTCAATTCAAATGAGTGGCGGCTTATTTGGTAACAAGAGGATACAAAGTAAATTGTGTCAAAGCAGCTTAACATGAAAGAGGAAAAGTGAATAAAAACCCAAAACAAGATTGTGACAAAGCAGCTTAACATAAAAGAAGAAAAGTGAATAAAAACCCATAACAATATTTCAAGTTAGGCAAGCAGGAGAGGATTAAGTGAATTCTTTATGGTAACTGGTATTTCACTAGATAATCAACTGTAAATGTGGGGGGAAAAAAACTAATTTAACATTTTTAGATCAAATATTTTCTCAAACTTATCAGTGCTTCAGATCTCAGTGAAATGACTTGAATTATGAATTATGGCCACACATTTTATAGATCAATTTATTTTGAAACAAGTTAATGTTATAGAACAGGGGTATCCAAACTCGGTACTGCAGGACCTGTGTTATAAAGAGTATCTTTGACCCTAATCAAACACCCCTGAACCAGCTAATCAAGCTCCTATATACTAGAGATTTCATGGCAGGTGTGTCGAAGCCAGTTCGAGCTTAACTGACACTGACTCTCCAGGACAGAGTTTGGACAACCCTGTTATAGAATAAGGAACACGCCTACAAACAACAATATATTTCGATTATAAAATAATGGAAACAATACTGACTAATTGAAGACTAAGAAATCGTGATTCTGTATCATACATTTTATTTGCATAAATTATTGTTTTGGCCATATATGGCCAAATATCCATTATTTAAATAATGAAAATTACGCTTATAAAGCGTGAAAGAAAAAGCCTAATGACTTTTGACAGGAAAGTTGCAATTAATATAGGCACATAAAGACGAAACCGTTCAGGTTAGTGAATTTGATTTCCTCAACTCAGATGTTAAATAGCGATGTAATATTACACGTTAATACACGTTTCACTTACAGTACACGTGACATTATCCGCTGACTAATAGAAAGCATCTTGGTTTGAATTCGCTTAGGTGTTTTTCCACACATCGCTGATTATAAACAGTGGATCTTTTTTTGCTAATCGAGCATGTAAGCAAATTATTTAGTGAACACATAACTGTCATTAACTTTGGACAGAATAGAAGAGCTTTTTGACCAAGGTTTCATTCACATTAAATCAATCAAATCATTAACGTTAGACTACTGTACATTAGCATGAGCAGTACTTTACTTAAAGGGACAGTTCGCCCATATATAATTTACACAATCTTTACTAGTTTCAAATCTTCATAAGTTTCTTTCTTTTGGTGAACACAAAGGAAGATATTTTGAAGAAAGCTTCACATATTTAACCACTGACTTCCATAGTATCGCCTTTGTTATCCTACAATGGAGGTCAATGGTTAGTTTTTTTACCCCCAAAATATTTTGTGAAAAAAAAAAAACTCATAAAAGTTTGAAATCATATTGGTGGATTATGCATTAATAGGCTATGTAAATTACATTCAAAATTAAGTATAATAGTATTAGATACAATTACATGCTTTTGTAGTTTATACAGTGTATTCAGCATATGCATACTGTACATTTAGTAGTTTACCATATCATTAAATTATAATAGAACAATCAGATACACATATGTTCACACGTTTCTACTTTTAATAAAAGACCAATAAGTGTCAACTCACCTCTTCCAGCCATTTCTGAAGAGTCTCCACTCCATGTCTTGGTGTATGTGTGTGTGTGCATCTGGATTCAGGCCAATAAATGGTCCTTTTAGCTGAACACCTGGGACTTAAAGCTGCCTTAGTGTTACAGTTGTCCCACCTCCTCCCACCTCATACAGGTGTTCACTATGGATGGGGGGCTGGGATGGTGGAGTTCTATAATGGCTATTTCCAAAAACTCCACAATTTTACCATAAATGGTTAATGCAAATCAGTCAATGTTCATATGCAAACTCTACTTCAGGTGATTGATGTGTTTAACCCTCAGGTTAAATTAAACATAAGCTTTAAAATCCCCTTTGGAATAAAATAACACACTTCACAGTTATGTCATTGCACTCTTTATTAGACTGATGCGTCATAGTCACCTATTTCATAAATTTCATTCCAGTCACATTGACAGACGTCTTGTGTTATGGTAAGAGACATTAGCATTAGCTAAGATTCATGAGGCATAAGCCTCAACGTCAAGAAAGTGTAAAAAGAAAAAAGAAGACTGAAGTAAATCTGGTAAAATATACATACATGAACTGACAATATACATCCCAATGTATTTCATACATTGTATTTCGTCAATAATGACATAACAATAGAAGGCACTTGGTACTGGTAAAAATATGTTCGATAAAATATTCTGTGCAAATATATTTCATTAAAATACTTGCGCTGGCCCAGACAGGCCGTAGTCTTAGCATTTATCTCCACTGTGTATGGCAAATATAAAATCAGAGCTATACAACATTACATACAGGACTCCCGGTGCAAAACCAGGCTCCGGTTTTACATTTAACTGAGAAAGCATCCATGCATCAAGGTTAATGTCACAGAACATAATAATGAATAACAAACAGCGGAGTCCAAGTGGACTCATGTCATCATATGACACAGTTTTGACACAGTCAATGTCTCGTCTTCAAAAATGTACATGACGTAGCAAATTTGCACCATTAAATGGCTAATAATTAAAGTTCAAGCTGATGATTACTTAAAGCAATCAAGGTGCACGTCTACACAGACAAAAGTATTACTTAAATGACCCAAATATGTTACTTCTTGATAAACAGTGCTATTAAAACTTGCACACAAGCAAGTCTTAAACACATTACAATAGAGGCCATGTGGGTTATGAGTTTTTCATATTATTTTCATTTTAAAAAATCTTTTTAGAAGCTCATTTTACTCCATTTACTTAAATCTATATCAAAAGATGATGTATCCTTTTCGTATTGCATCCTGTTCTCTTTGTTTGACCACTGTGGGTCAAATTTCCAAGCCAATGCAGCTGTCATTACACACCACGAGACTAATTTAAACAAACAAAGGTGCAGATTAGGAATTAGGAAGCTCTGCCCTCTAAGCAGTTCTCGTCAGACGTCACATAACGTTTATTGACATCTTTTATGGCATTCTGATTTATACAGTGTACAGATGGTGAATGAATATTGGTGTCAGGAATCAATATTTAAATTCTGCAACACTGCTTAATGTTGCATATTTAAACACACCATGTTTATCTTGCTCATTGCTTAGATTATCCCACATGATTTCCCAAAAAGGCAGCACCCCAATGTCTAACATTTACAATTCCTTGTAAAAACAAATACGATGTGTGTGTGCAGCCACACGAAGACCAATAACTATGAAGATTACCATAATGATAACCATCTTAGCTTGTGCACCAGCTGACGTTCTGTTTATTGTCTGTTGAGAATCTTTGCAGAAGCTTGTAAGTGTTTTTATTGTTGATCAGCTGGAAAGTGATGCCAGTGATATTGCCCTTGTTTATCGTTTTATAATAGTTGAGGCTATTCCGATTTATTATTTATCTGATTAATTATTAAAATATTTCAATTACAGCTATCATGTCCTTGATGTGATCAGAAGAGGTTCAGATACATGTTTGGTGTATCTAACTTAAACCAATTCAGTTTTTTGTGTGAACAGAAATCTGGATTCACGCCACATTCATGAAAACTGAAATCAAATTAGAATTGGAAGATTTGGATCATATTTACAAATAGTTTTTTAAGGCTCATTTAGATTGTGACAGATTCGCTTTGTGAAAACTGACTGTGTGTTCTGAACTGATATCTCATTTTTTATCTAATATTTAAGATTTATGTGGGTGCAACCTGTTTCAAGAATAGCATGCCTGGTGGAACTATGAAGCAAATAAAAGCATTCGAATAGTTTCGCTCTCATGGTGTGAACAGAAAACTAGATTCACACCACATTCGAATTAAAATTGGAAGATTTGGACAATATATTATAATAACCGGTTAGATTTTTGAAAATTGAGGGTAATCTGAATTTATAATCTGAATCAGATTTACATGGGTGCAACCTGTTTCAAGATTAGCATGTCTGGTGGGATCAAAAAGCGAATAAAAGCATTTTGTTAATCAGTTTCCCTTTTACAGTGTGAACAGAAAACTGGATTTCATAGTGAGAACAGAAAACTGGATCAAGGTCAGATACCACAAACATGCTTTTATTTGCTTCATAATTTGATCATATTTACAAATGTATTTTTTAGCCTTGTTTGGGACATAAAATATTTGATTTGTACGATCTGAACTGATAATCTGAATCAGATTTACGTGTATGCAGCCTGTTTCAAGAATAGCATGTCTGGTGGGACTATGAATCAAATAAAAGCATTTTTGAGGTATTTGACTTTGATTAGTTTCATTTCCAGTGTGATCAGAAAACTGGATTCTTATCACATTCATGGAAACTGAAATCAAATTAGAATTGGAAGATTTGGATCATATAAAGAAACAGTTTTTAATAGTTTCATTCAGCATTTCACAAAACAAATTCGATTTGTGAAATCTGAGTGTTATCTGAATTGATTATTTGAATCAGATTTAAGTGGGTGCAACCTATTTCAAGATTAGCATGTCTGGTGGGATCAAAAAGCAAATAAAAGCATTTTGTTAATCAGTTTCACTTTCATAGTCTGAACAAAAAACTGGATTCACGCCACATTCATGACAACTGAAATCAAATTAGAATTGGAAGATTTGGATCATATTTACAAATTTATTTTTAGCCTTATTTAGGATCGTGTGACATAAGAGATTTGATTTGTATGATGTGAATTGATAATCTGAATCAGATTTACGTGGAGGCAGCCTGTTTTAAAAATAGCATTCCTGGTGGGACTACAAAGCAAATAAAAGCTTTTTGGGGGTATCTAACCCTTATCAATTTCGCCTTCACAATGCGAACAGACAAGTGGATTTAAACCACATTCATGAAAAGAGAAATCCAATTAGAATTGGAACATTTGGATCATATTTACAAATAGTTTTTGTTTTGCCTTATTCAGGAACATGACATAACAGATTTGATTTGTGTGATCTGAATTGATTTCTGAATGAGATTTATATTAGTGCAACCCATTTCAAGAATAGCATTTCTAGTGGGATTACAAAGCAAATAAAAGCATTTTGGGGGTATTTATCCCTAATCAGTTTTACTTTTATAGTGTAAACAGAAAACTGGATTCACACCACATTCATGAAAACTTAAATCAAATTAGAACTGGAACATCTGGATCATATTTACAAATAGTTTTTTGCCTCATTCTGGAACGTAACGTAACAGATTTCATTTGTAGGATCTGAATCAGATTTATTTGGGTGCAACTTGTTGCAAGAATATCATGCCTGGTGGGATTATGATACAAACAAAGGCTTTTTTTGTTTTGTTTTTTGACCCTAATCAGTTTCGTTTTCCCAATGTGAACAGAAAACTGGATTCACACCACATTCATGAAAACTGAAATCAAATTAAAATTGGGACATATTTAGAAATAGTGTTTTTAGGCTGATTCAGAATGTGACAACAGATTTGATTTGTAAAAATTAAGTGTGATCTGAATTGATAATCTGAATCGGATTTACTTGGGTGCGACCTGTTTCAAGATTAGCATGCTTGGTGGGATTATGAAGCAAATAAAAGCATTTTGTTAATCAGTTTCACTTTCATATTGTGTACAAAAAAACTGGATTTACACTACATTCCTCAAAAAACTGAAATCAAATTAGAATTGGAACATCTGGATCATATTTACAAATTGTTTTTTAGCCTCCTTTGAGAACGTGACATAACAGATTTGATTTGTATGATCTGAATCAGATTTACGTGGGTGCAACCTGTTTCAAGAAAACCATGCCTGGTAGGATTACGAAGCAAATAAAAGCATTTATTGGGGTAGGTGACTATGATTGGTTTCGTTTTTCACAGTGTGAACAGAAAACTGGATTCACACCACATTCTTGAAAACTGAAATCAAATTAGAATCAGAATGTCAGCAACAGTTGAATCAAATTTAAGTTTAATTTGCAAAATTGACTGCAAGATCTGAATTCAAATCCAAATCAGATTTACCTCTGGTATACACAAGGACCATTTACGTGGTTGCAACTTGTTTTAAGAACAGCATTCCCGGAGGAATTACTACCCACGAGTGAGGCCCTTGTCGTGCTCCCATCCTGCCTTCATCTTCATCATCAACATCAATATCATCCTCTTCCTCGATGCCTCTTTCAGCCTGACCCCCACCTAAACCAAATGGCGGCAACAACAAAGGGTGCAAAATAGGCAACTTGCCAAGCCCAAGAGCACTGGAACTGGGGTACAGCACTGGCCCTGCTCCTAAAAGTGGACTGAGCCTGGAAAGATCCAGAGGGTGACCTCCAAATGGCCCGGCGAAGGCATGACCTCCAAATAATGTGGTTGTCGCCCCCGGCAGGATGAAATTAGCCGCCGTTGGGTGAGATTGATCCATTCGTCGTCCGTCCACCAATGACGCAGTGTCTGATTCCAGCCTGTTGGTTCTCGGGGAAGCGGCGCGATCTTGCACTACGGCATGTCCATGAGCCTTGATGTGTTTACGGAGCGAGCTGGGGTCAGTGTAGCGCTTCAGACACCCTACCATTTTGCAGCAGTAGGGTTTGTCCACGTAATGTGTGCGCGTGTGTTTGAAGCGGTCGCTGGAGTTCGAGTAGCGCTTGTTGCAGCCTTCGTATGGACAGATGTAAGGCTTCTCTCCTGAGAGGGCAAAAGAGCAAGAGATAATAATCACAGGCTGCATTGAAGGAATGCAGGGGTCAGGATGGACCAGGTCAGATAGCAACAATTAGACACCACAGGCCTGTAGAAACCTGTCATTTTATTTGGGAAAATGATGTTGTATGTGAATGTTTGAGGCTTCATTGAGTGTGTGCACACTAGAGATAGTAAATGTAATGGTATTTTGGAATTAAGTCAAAACATAAAAAACACGAGTCAACATAAATATTTTGCTAATCTAATTCTCAATATGGCTCCCAGAGCAGTAATACATAATGGTACACTGAAAAAAATTCAACAATGATGATTCCATGGATTTACTACATTTTTTTTTATGTTAGGTGGTTGTAAACAATTTATTTGGGCTGAATTTAAACAAACATATTAAGTTAACCATTATTACATTTAATTTGTTTGTTTAAAATCAACACAAATAAATTGTTTGCAACAGTTTTGCATGCAACACTTTTTTCAGTGTAGCATAAATCGGATAAAAGAAGCATTTTTGCCATATCTATCATATAAAATGAACTAATCAAATTCAAACCACATGACGATGTATCTGATTTTATTGCAAAAAATTAAATTAAAATTAATTAATAAAAAATTAAAAAATTACAGTATGATATCTCATCTGTAACAGCTATCACAAAAAATGTATATATACAATACAATAATACATATATACAGTTGAAGTCAGAATTATTAGCCCCCCTGAATTATTAGCACCCCTGTTTATTTTTCCCATTTTCTGTTTAATGGAGGGAAGCACATTTCTAAGCATAATAGTTTTAAAAACCTATTTCTAACAACTGATGTATTTTATCTTTGCCTTGATGATTGAATTTTACTAGATATTTTTCAAGACACTTCTATACAGCTTAAAGTGACATTTAAAGGCTTAACTAGGTTAATAAGGTGAACTAGGCAGGTTAGGGTAATTTGGCAAGTTATTGTATAACGATGGTTTGTTCTGTAGACTATCGAAAAAAAATTACCTTAAAGGGGCTAATAATTTTGTCCCAAAAATGATTTTTTTAAAAATTAAAAACTGCTTTTATTCTAACCGAAATAAAACAAATAAGACTTTCTCCAGAAGAAAAAACATGATCAGACATACTGTGAAAATTTCTTTGCTCTGTTAAACATAATTTGAGAAATATTTAAAAATGAGAAAATAATTCAAAGGGGGGCTAATAATTCTGACTTTAACTGTATATATATATATATATATATATATATATATATATATTTATAACAAATACACTCACCGGCCACTTTATTAAGTCCAACTGCTCAATGATGCAAATTTCTAATCAGCCAATCACATGGCATTGAGTATCGAGTACATGGGCTACAGCAGCACAAGATCACACCAGGTCCCACTCCTGTCAGCTAAGGACAGGAAACTGAGGCTACAATTCGCACAGGCTCACCAAATTTGAACAATAGAAGATTGGAAAAATATTGCCTGGTCTGATGGGTCTCGATTTGTGCTGCAACATTCGGATGGTAGGGTCAAAATTTGGCATCAACTACATGAAATCATGGATCCCTACTGCCTTGTATCAACGGTTCAGGCTGGTGGTGGTGTAATGGTGTGGGTGTATTTTTTTGGCACACTTCGAGCCCATTAGTCCCAATTGAGCTTCGTGCCAATGCCACAGCCTACCTGAGTATAGTTGCTGACCATGTCCATCTTTTTGTGAACACAGTGTACCCATCTTCTGATGGGTACTTCCAGTAGGATAACGTGCCATGTCATAAAGAGGGAATCATCTCAGACTGAATTCCTGAACATGACAATGAGTTCAATGTGCTCAAATGGCTTCCACAGTCACCAGATCTCAATCCAATAGAGCACCTTTGGGATGTGGTTAAAAAGGATATCTGCATCATGGTTGTGCAGCCGACAAATCTGCAGCAACTGCGTGATGAGTTCACGTTAAAATGGACAAAAATCTTTGAGGAAAGTTTCCAGTACATTGTGGAATATATGCAACGAAGGACTAAGGCAGTAGTGAATGTAAAAGTGGGTCCAACCCTGATACTAAGTTTACCTAATAAAGTGGCCTGTGAGTGTGTAAACACACATATCTAAAATATATTTTTAATGTTATTATGTAATATAATAATTATGTAAATTGTAAAAATATTTTATAAATAATAATATATTTTTATAAAGTAATGTCTGAGTTTTTTGTCATATTGAATACTGAAATATTTCTGAAATATTTTATATATTGTGAAAACTCTATTGTGCAATTCTTTATAAAAAATAGACATTTATTTGTAACAGTCATGAAAAAAATTATAATTATTTGCTTAGATGAAATATGTTGTTTAGACTGTTTAAAACTAATAATTAAATATGTTTGGAAAGTTTTAAAGTAAGACGGGAAGCCAGAATCAAAATTATTAGCTGCAAATAATAATAAAAAGAAACAAACAATAATGACTTGGCCCCTTTTTTAATAAGCCTAATAAGACAACATATCATGTTAAATAGAACTCATAAAATCCGATATAAATCAAATATTTCAAAACGTCTTTTTGGTTCGCTGTACTTGGGTCCAGATTAAAATACAAATTTACATAAAATGATCTCTTTTTACTATTTACTCTTTTCTGTTTTAGGGTTAAACTAATCTACTGTAGCTTTTATGTGTGTGATGTGGCTTTTATGTTTTTTATTTATTTAATATTGTGACATAAAAATGCTGCTCCATACTGCAAATGTTTGTGTGTCTCACCTGTGTGTGAGCGCGTGTGTATTTTCAGGTTCTCCAGACGTGAGAAGCTCTTGTGGCAGGTCGGGCAGTGATGAGGTTTCTCATTGGTATGAGTGCGGATATGAATCAACATCTTGTACCTGAATTGAACAAATGGATCCTGGATTAGAGCTCACATAATGAACGCAAACATCCAGTACTTTATGACACTTCATAATCAGGGAGTGTGTAAAACTTTGGCAGTGTCAAGACAAAGATCATGCTTACTTTACAAAAATAGTTTTTTTATAATCCTTTTTGTCGGCATAAATGATTTGTAAAGACTAGAGACAACACTTTACCTTATTGAAAATTTTAACTTTTTTTGAATATGTAATGTATTAAATTCATTTATAATATAATATAATATAATATAATATAATATAATATAATATAATATAATATAATATAATATAATATAATATAATATAATATAATATAATATCCACAGTCTGACCTGGCATTAAAGCCTCTCCCCTTGCGCGCGCAGCCCTCCCAGTGGCAGCAGTATCCTGAGGCTTTCTCTGGTTTCACATGCGAGTCATTGACATGATCCACCAGATCCTGCAGGCTCTCGAACAGCAGATGGCACTAAAGAGTAATAAAAGATTTCATTAAAGTCTCTTCTTTTTGCTCAGTGTGCTGCTACAGTGTTTTAAGTTGCTGGTTGATGGTTTCTAATTAGCATTATGCGTTTATTCTAATCTCTAAAGTTTAAAAATGGGAGTGAATTGCCAAAATTAGCATGGTGTGTATATGGAACAGGACTCTCAGGTAACTAAACCGTTGTTGACCTTCATTACCAAGTATTTTTTCCCCCTATAATGGAAGTCAGTGGGGACCAGCTATGTTTTTTTTACTAAATTTGTTCAAACTCTTATTCTTTTGTGTATAGCAGGGAATAAAAGTAACTGATGCAAATTTGGAACAACATTAGGTTGAGTAAATTTTCATTTTTTTAGTAAATTATCTCTTATCACTGGATTCTGAGATTTTCAAAATGTTTCGCTCTACTGTCTTGAATTGATTCTGATGTTAGTTTTTACAGCAAATGGAGCTGTTTGCTTTACAGACACCCCTCAAAACTAAAATAATCATTAATAAAGTCATTAAAGCCAATTAACATGACAGCTCAATATGCAGGTGCTCTTCTATGTGAGCATTTGAGTGTAGATAAAAAATTAGCTAATGCAGCATCTGATGTTAAAATGTGGTCTAGTGTGCCATCTGATTTAAAAAAACTAGCCTAGAATCCCCTCTGCTGTTAACTAGCCTAGTGCAACATCTACTGTTAAAAACTAGCATAGCGCATAATCTGCTGTTAAAAACTAGCCTAGAGCATCATCTGTTGCTAACAACATAGTGCGCCATCTACTGTTAAAAACTATCCTAGAGCACCATCTCCTGTTAAAAACTAGCATAGCGCATAATCTGCTATTAAAAACGAGTCTAGAGCGCCATCTGCTGTTAAAAACTAGTCTAGAGCGCCATCTGCTGTTAAAAACTATCCTGGAACTCCATCTGCCGTTAAAAACTAGCAAAGTGCATAATCTGCTTTTAAAAACTAGCCAGGAGCGCCATCTCCAGTTAAAAATTAGCATAGTGCATAATCTGCTGTTAAAAAGCCTACAGCACCATCTGTTGTTAATGACCTAGTGCGCCATCTGCTGGTAAAAACTAGCCTAGAGCCCCATCTGCTGTTAAGAACTAGCCTAGAGCCCCATCTGCTGTTAAAAAATAGCCTAAAGCCCCATCTGCTATTAAGAAGTAGCCTATTGCACCATCTGTTGTTAACAACCTAGTGGGCCATTTGCTGTTAAACCTAGCCTAGAGCACCATCTGCTGTCAAAAACTAGCCTAGAGCACCATCTGCTGTTAAAAACTAGCTTAGAGCCCCATCTGCTGTTAAAAACTAGCCTAGAGCCCCATCTGCTGTTAAAAACTAGCCTAGAGCCCCGTCTGCTATTAAGAAGTAGCCTATTGCACCATCTGTTGTTAACAACCTAGTGGGCCATTTGCTGTTAAAACCTAGCCTAGAGCACCATCTGCTGTTAAAAACTAGCCTAGAGCGCCATCGGCTGTTAAAAACTAGCCTAGAGCCCCATTTGCTGTTAAAAACTAGCCTAGAGCCCCATCTGCTATTAAGAAGTAGCCTATTGCACCATCTGTTGTTAACAACCTAGTGGGCCATTTGCTGTTAAAACCTAGCCTAGAGCGCCATCGGATGTTAAAAACTAGCCTAGAGCCCCATCTGCTGTTAAAAACTAGCCTAGAGCCCCATCTGCTATTAAGAAGTAGCCTATTGCACCATCTGTTGTTAACAACCTAGTGGGCCATTTGCTGTTAAAACCTAGCCTAGAGCACCATCTGCTGTTAAAAACTAGCCTAGAGCGCCATCTGCTGTTAAAAACTAGCCTAGAGCCCCATCTGCTATTAAGAAGTAGCCTATTGCACCATCTGTTGTTAACAACCTAGTGGGCCATTTGCTGTTAAAACCTAGCCTAGAGCACCATCTGCTGTTAAAAACTAGCCTAGAGCGCCATCTGCTGTTAAAAACTAGCCTAGAGCCCCATCTGCTGTTAAAAACTAGCCTAGAGCCTCATCTGCTGTTAAAAAATAGCCTAGAGCCAGTCTGCTATTAGGAAGTAGTCTATTGCACCATCAGTTGTTAACAACCTAGTGGGCCATTTGCTGTTAAAATCTAGCCTAGAGCACCATCTGCTGTTAAAATCTAGCCTAGAGCGCCATCTGCTGTAAAAAAAAAACTAGCATAGAACACCATTTCTTGTTGACAACTAGCCTAGAGCACCATCTGCTGTTAAAAACTAGCATAGAGCACCATCTCAAGTTAAAAACTAGCTGAAAGCATCATCTGCTGTTAAAAACTAGCCTAGACTGGACTGCAATCTGCTGTTAAAAAGTAGCCTTGAGCACCATCTGCTGGTAATAACTAGCATAGAGCATCATCTACAGTAAAAACTAGCATAAAGCGCCATATACTATTTAAAACTAGCCTAGAGCGTTATTTGCTGTTTAAAAATAGCCTAGAGCACCATCTGTTGTTTAAAAACTAGCCTAGTGCGCCATCTCCTGTTAAAAACTGGCATATTGCACCATCTACTATTAAAAACTAGCCTAGAGCGCTATCTATTGTTAAAAAAAACTAGTCTAGAGCACCATATGTTGTTTAAAAACTAGTCTAGAGCACAATCTGTTGTTTAAAAACTAGTCTAGTGCGCCATCTCCTGTTAAAAAATGGCATATTGCACCATCTACTATTAAAAACTAGACTAGAGCACTATCTGTTGTTAAAAACCAAGCTTAATTCAAGATAGAATATCGATGCATTTTGAAAATCTCAGAATTGATTTTTTAAATGATTTTTCAGTTCTACTTTTTAAATAACACATGTACATGTGTCTCATTAATATATTTTAATACACTAAGCAAGTAAAACTCGATCATTTTGGATCAAAACAATAACAGTAGCTCTTTGTCACTCACCTTTAGCCAGCGGCAGGCCAGCTGTTCATCACCTGAAGGCTCAGGGGAGTGTTGACCAATCAGCATTGAGGAGGGCAGGCGCAGGGGACCCTCTGCACCAATCGGCAGGAAGAACTGGAATCCCGGAGGAGGAGAGGCGCTGTCCTCATGGTATGGGGTGCTCTCAGATTCCTTCAAGTAGAAGAGGTTATGAGTAAATGATGCATTTCTGAATCATGTCTGACTCATCTTAGTTGGGCATTAGGAGACCACCTAAAGCCTGAACAAGCCCGGACATGCTCCCAAAGAAAGAGTTCAGATCAGGATACCATGAGACCGGACTGGCATGAATTAGTGAATTGAATTATGGGACTGGTGCTGAATAAAGTAGTCTTTCTTCATGTCTACACCACAGAGATTTGAATCACTTGAATCTGTTTACCATAAAAACTAAAGTTAAATGTTTTAATGGTATTTCAAGACTCCAGTACCATGCATCTACGATTTAGAGTTGGATAGAGTCATAACTATAATCTATAGTGCATAATTGTTTTGTTTAAAATTATAAATTAATGCATTTATCCTAGGTGGCTATGGGAGTTACTCACTAAGGCCAGCAGAGGCGCTGTGGGGCTCCAGCTGGCACCACTGTCTATTGGAGATGGTGGTGAAGGAGAGGAGGATGGAGATAGACTCAGATCCACAGCAGTGGATGACGAAGAGTCTGACATGTCCTTATCAGCTGCATCTGGAGAGCAGAAGAGAGGAGAGAAACTCACTACTGACTCACCCTCAAATGATTCCAAACCTTTCTACGTTTATTTATTCTGTTGAACACTAATGAAAAGCTTTTTCAACCAGGTTTCCTGCTTTCTTCTAAACACATACTTTTCTGTTCAACAGATAATAGAAAATCAAAGGAGTTTGGAACAAGTAAAGGGTATGTAAATGATGATAGAATGTTCAGTTTTGGGTGAACTTTCCCTTTAAGACTTTTTTGCATTCAAAATGACATGCTTTTTCAAATAGGTCGATACTCTACATGAATGAAATCTGGGCGTACTACAGTACATTAGAAAAGTTTTCATTATTATGTGACCTACAAGGGTTACAGTTACTTTCATTCTGTCTTTTGAATCATTAAATTGGGTGTTTTGTTTAAAGTGCACCTATTATATTTCAAATGTTCCTTATTTGGTTTTGAGATCTTCTCTTAAGATTACTCAAATGAATTGTTTGAGACTCTTTATTGTCCTAAAATTTACATTTGAAATAATTTTATGTTTTCTATTTTCATTTCAAGTCTCAAACAATTCATTTGAGTGATCTGAAGATAATTTTTTCTAAACCCCTTCTTTCCAAGAGCCTGCTCTGCTCTGATTGGTCAGATAGCCACTACTTACTGTAATGAAACACTTAATATAAAATTTTAGCGATTGTACACACTTTAGGATTGTATTGATTTTATTTTATTTTATTAATTTGAGCCTCCATATGATGATTATACATCCTAGTTAATAGTTGATTCATTGATTTTATTTAATGATTTGCTTGGAAACGATACATTTAGGAACTAAACAGGTAGTCATCTTTCTGACTGAGTCCTATTAATCCCTGTTTTTTCCATTTAGGAAAATACACAGTCAATATCTTTAAAGCCGTTTTTCCATTACACAGTACTGTACGGTACAGTTCGGCACGAAATGGCTTGCGTCCACTCAGTTTTGCTCATCTCAGTTTACCTATCCACTGCAGTCAGAATTTGCCAGGTCCAAGAAAATTTGCAGCCCTTTGCAGCAATTTTTTCAATTCCCATGAAGGGGAATGCATGTCTGAGACTGCATGTGCATCTCTGCAGTCAAACTCTATTGTAATTTTTCCTACAACTGCATTTTCAAAAGAGCTTAATTGTGTGAGAATACTGCGACCCTGGCAACACTATCTGCAGTCATCGACTAGAATACACAAGACATGTCACTCGTATAGTTTTAAAAAGAGTAACGGTCAATATGGTGAATGAAGCCCTACCTCCTAGTGCAGCAGCCTATCATCGATCGCTGTAGACTGCAGTTTCTCCACGGGAGAAGCTCGGACCAAACGTGTGTTTTTACGACAGTTTGTGTGGTCAGCAAACACACTTAAATCTCAGTGAAAACTTGCTTCACAGACGTAAGAAATGTATCCAAATAAAACTTGATATCTGTGCTTTTAAATGAACCAAATATACTATAAAAAGTTTTTAGGTTTTGTAATCTGTATGAAATTAACACAAGGTAAAGTCCATCCTGTCACATCACATGCCAGCAACTACTCAAACTTATAAAAAAAGAGATGCTGTCATTTCTGTAGGAGAGTCACCAGAGAGAACAGGTTATGAATTACTTCAGAAGACCAGCACGATCAGATGATCATCATCCAGAGGATGATAATGTGTTGAACAGCCATAAAAAAGGTTGGTGTCGTGATCTTGTTCCTTTCGAATGCTCATCCACATTAGCTCAGGCAGCCTAAAAAAATGCCAAATTTGTTTGATTTGAACGTTTAGAAACGAAGCTTAAGAGACAGATGTTGTTTAATCTTATTGGTGATTCCAAATATGTAATGTAAGCTTGGCAGTTTTGAAGAATTTGATGTTTCCCCACTCAGACAGAATGCCCGAGAGGTGTTTCAAAGAAGGCTGCTAGGTGAAAGGACTTGCCTTATAGGGACTTTTCTGCCATTTAGTACCACTTAAAGTGTGTGGAATGACCATTATAGCTGCTCAGCCTCTGTTGCAGCAACTTCTTGAAAACCTTTTTCACCCTGAGTCTTCTCAACCATCCTTCTCGGCTACCAACAAGAGTTATGTCTTGACTTCTTCTACTGATGCCGATACTACAATTAAAGGTGTCTTTTTCTCACGGTGGTATAGAAAGGCTTTAGTCATGAAAACCAACAATACAGTAGTGGCTGCAGCTGATTATTTAAATATAGCAGGTTTGGTGTCTCGTGTCAAAAATCCAATAATACTGTCAATCTCAGACGAATCAGTGATCAGCAGTGTTTACATCATGTTTTGATAATGGTACAGCACGCTTAGGCCCTCACCCAATATAGTACTAAAAAAACAACCCAGGCTCATTCTGAAAATATAGCCCTATTTACATTTCTGGAGATCGAAAAATAGGTCCCAGGAGGTAAGTTTTATTTGCAGTTTTTATTTTTAAGAATCTAATAGAGGACGCTGTGTATTAGGCATGGGACGATAACGGTTTAAGGATACCGCGGTTTAGACAAGTCAAGGTTTTAAAACTGCCAAAATTGTCTGTAATACCGTTCCTAAGGTATGTGTACTATTTTTTGTTAACATATTTTTTTTTTAGGACAATAGTAACTCCAGCAGAAAAAAAATATTCAAATATATCATTTTAAATTGCAAAGAAATCTGTGTTTTTGAAACAAATAAAGACAGCAGAAGTCAATTAATCTTTGAAATTATTTAGCCTGACATGTCTACTGTTTCAAACTATTACAAATCTTTCAAAAAATAAAATATACTGTTTTCAAAGGGGAAAAAAGTTTTGTTCAAGGTTATCATACCGTCAGAATCATATACCGGCCCATGCCTATTGATCTTGAATTTCTCTTGCGAGTGCCATTCTCACCTGCTGTTCTCGTGTAAGTCCACCAGAGACCACTGTCAACTGACTGATTTACTGACTGACTGACTGATCCCCTACCCTCCTGTTTCCCTAAATCCAACCGATAGTGTTTTAAAACACATTGATTGACCTGCCCACACACTTCCGTAAATCCAACCGACAGTGTTTTGAAAAGCAATCCAGAAAAAGAAAAAAAAAACCTGTTTTACACCACGTTTTCAGATTTTACCACATTCTCACCATTTTTGACTTGTTTATTAATTTTTTTTTTTTTTTTGTTGGCTTCTGTTTTTGTCTGACCCGCTTTGTGGAACTGTTCTTTACCTTTATTTTTAGGAACAAAACATATCCATGTCTTGCTCATGCACAATGGATGACTTTCCTTTAAAGATTCATCAGTAGAGGTTGCTTAGTCAAAAAAAATTATAAAGACATAGCTTGATAAAGGAGTGTGGAATCATAGGAGTTGCCACATTTAAATACACAAAGAAATAAATCAGAAAGGACCAGAAACTGTTTATGGATAAGGTATTATATTGAAGTTTTAAAAATGTTGTGACTTATCATTTCAAAAAGTCCCGCTTAGCTGATGTTTATTTATAAGCTTGTTTGGCATGCTGTCCCGGAAGATAGCCCAGAGCTCAAAAGATCCTCAAGCTTTTGGCTCCCTCACGTTTGCAGGGCGAGAGTGGAGATTGAGCTCAGGTAGATCTCAAGAACTCCCCTGCTTATTTGTGGCTAATAACAAATTGCTTCATGAGGAAAAATACTGTTGGCTAGGAACTTGAATATGGTGCCAACTTGGTTTAGTCAGTTTACTTGTGACACATGTTTTTGGACAGTGGGAGGAAAACGGGAGACCCACGCGAACACAGAGAGAACATACAAACTCCACACAGAAACACTAACCAGCCTGGCAAGGACCAGAACCAGCGACATTCTTGCTGTGAGGCAACAGTGCTAACCACTGGGCTGCCGTGCCACCCAATCTAGGAAAAAAGGGGGAGACATGGGGACTTAGGAATCATCTGATTGGAGAATCGTGTATTAGCTAATGCGGGACTGCCTTGATCAATCTTCTATGAAATAACTAGAAGTAATGTAGTGCTAAATACAAAGTTACTACACATTCTGGTCCTCCAATTGTAGAGTGCCTCCAAAACAAAATTAGGATGTTTACTGTAGCATAATTGGGACAATTTCACAAAAACACAATCAGCATGGCTGTGATTCTGTTGATTGCATGCATAGCAGTGCATGTCATAAATGCAGTGGAATGTGATTTATATATAGTGGAGTTATGTAGTGGTTTGTGTGGTCAGCTGACTCACCAGGGCTTGATGACTTATGCAGTGTCCGAGATATTCGGGTACGAGCAAAATGCAGAGGAGCACAGATGGAGGTTCTGATCGTCCTGTCACGACCAGAGGGGATCTTCAAATCCAGGGGCTCGTCCAGTGACAGCATGGCTTTGATCCGCCCGCCTGAGAAAAATCAAACCATATTATTATATGAAAGAAGGCTTTTTTTCCACTACCGACATTTCACAGTGGCACCAAGAATGACAGCTGTGATTTTGCAGCTTACTTTTGAGAAGGAAATACTCCCTCTCTTACACACTCGCAGGCAAACTCCTACACACACGCAGGGCTACATTCACTTCAGCAACTGTAAGTCATTTACATTTCTTTCTGCCAGACAGGTCACGCACACACTCGCGAATGAAAGCGCACACACTCCTGCAGTTCATCACACCAGCAGTCCCGCTGCAGTCAAAACATGCAGAACACATTACAGAGATATATAGATTCTTAGCTTTGCTTCATTCTTTTCCTCAGTCTCAGTTTCTTTCGGTGATGCAGAGGAAAGTTTGATGAAGAGTGGGCCTCTGGGTCTGCATCCATGGGTTATGTCTGTGTTTTTACAAAGGGGCCCAGAAGCCTGAGACTTTATGAGTGAGGTATTGAATCATTCATTCAACTGATCTTTTTAAAACCAGAGTGTAAAGAAGACCTTCGAGTAAGAATGTTCCAAGTTATCTCCACTCCCCTGACCTCGAGTGACATCAGTTTGAATCCTGCCCGAAGAGTGGGGCGAGTAAAACCGTAGGGGTGATATTGGTGCCGTGACCCGGATGGCATTGATGCTTAGACTGCAATAGAGGGTGGGTAGCAGTAGCTGTGCAAGTAGACCTTGTCTGGGCTTAGGAAATGCATTAGTTCAAAATGCAAAGTTTTATTTCAGTATAATAAAACTCTTACTTTGTTTTGACTCTAAATGCTGTAATACAAAATTAGTACATTACTATTATCTACTACTAACAAGTAATTCCTTAGCATTCTTGGTTGTGCACCTGCTTCCCAAGTTGAAATCACACTTTTTTGTAGAAGGTACAAAGCTGTGGAAGTTGCATTGGTGCCATTACTCTGTTGGAGAAATGTTTATGGTGGTAAATGTAATGGAGGCTGGTTAGCAGGAACTATGTAAGTAAAGTTCACTACACTGACCCTAAGAGGTCCGCTTGTAAGTGACTGATGTTAAAATCTTTATCCTTGTTGGTGCACCTTACATGCTGAAGATGCTGATTTGAATCCTGCTTGGTGTGGGCTGAGTAGAACAGGAGGTGTTAAATTAGTGCCATGACCCGGATGAAAGTGAGGTTAAGGTATGTGAGTGTAGGGAGGCCGGCAAGTAAAAGCTTCCAGTACACATTACTCTCCTGGCCTCAAGAGTGCATTAGTGACGGATGTTAGAAGCCATAGCATCCCTGTTGGTGCACGAGCCTCCTCATATCATGATTTTACCAAGTACAATGCGATCCTAGATTAACATCTACAGATCCTGATCCTTGATCCTGGAACATCATTTTTGTTCGAAAATGTAATCTATACCAATTTCCTACCACTAAACCCAACCATAACTGTACATTATTCCCAAAATTATAGGAAAATAATTATATAAAGTAATAGTTGGATAACAATAATGTAGAAGTGCATAAACCTAATCACAAGCCTAAACTTAACATATCGCTTAATTCTGATTGGCTAATTGGAATGTTGTTCCAGGATCAACATAGTTAATCCAGGAACATGTCCTATTTGGGGAAATTAGGTTGTCGTTCAGCCTCCCATGTAGGAGACTCAAATTCAAATTCCACTCTTGGAATGAGAAGAGAAGGACCGGAGTAAGTTTTTGGTGCCATGACCTGGATGAGAGTGAAGATTAGAGTAACAGAGACTGACATTAGAGGCTGCAGCCTTTAGCATCTTTGCTGGCATGCTCAACTCCTTCCAGAGATGACAGTTCAAATCTTAGTCAGAGTGGATCAAGGACAATTGAAGAAGTTAGGCTGGTGCAAAGACACATAGAAGTAATAATAATGAAGGCCAGTTAGTAGTAGCTGAGCGAGTAAACCTCATTCACCTAGTCTCAAGTGGACAACACTAAGTACAGGTTTGAGCGGTGTCTGAAGCATTTTGAGCTTGTCCAATTTTGACCACATTCAGCATATTCAGAGGTGGTCGAAAACAAATTAGATCGGATTGCTCTAATAGTGTAAATGCACATGTGGTTTAATATGGACCAGCAGCCTCTAAATACTGCCCTCTGACCGGACATGTCATCATTGTGTGACGTGTTGCTGGTCATAAGTAAACTTACAGAGCACAATATTGTTCCACCAGTCTTGACTTCTGGCACAAGTTCATATAGTTTGGCGAGGTCTTGAGGACATCACTGCAGAAATAAAAGTGGCTGCTCTCTTCGTCTTTCCCTGTTGTCTTATTATCCGATGATATGTTAGATGCATGACTATTTCAGCTTATTTCGTCCACTGGTTTGAAATAACTGAAAAGGCCCATACATAAACATACACAGCGTGTTGTGTAGCATCTTTAAGTTTAACAACAACACTAACAGCTGGACTCTGACTTAACATTAGTGCGGACCAGCATCTACCTGCACGATTCACCCTCCACTTTAACAAAAGCATCAGGACCTGCTTATAGAACCTCGCCTTGACGAAATCATGACAAATGTAGTTTAAAGTGGACAAAAGAGGCGCATTCAAATAGCAGGGGTGATTGCTTGTGGCCTGCTTTGTCCAATAGTGATCGGATCAAGGAAAATCCATCTTAATACCAGGTGTGAACAGGGCCTTATGCTGCATTCACACCTGACATGAATGAAGCATCAAGCGCAAGTGATTTACATGTTAGGTCAATGTAAAGTCGCAAATAGACATCATGCAGCACAATACGTGTGAATGAGGTGGCGCAAATAATGCAATTCATGAGAATTGCACGTTTGCCGTGCAAATCACTCAAGTTGGAAAATCTGAACTTCAGCTGACATTTGCGCCGCATGAACCAATCAGAAGCGTGATTATGAAGTAGCCTGTTGTTAGTGTCCTGAGGGGGAATCCTCTTGCCGACACCGGACAACAGTTCATCAAACTAGGTTAGGTTCAGTCGGAAGCACAGCTGAAAGCCTCCATCATCCAGGTATAGTTTCTGGAGGAGTTGATAAACTCACAGAGCTGAGTGCACCTCTGAAAAGATCTCAAGGACTCAGACACTTATTGGTTTAATTGGAGTCAGTTTGTAATGTATGAGGATTGAGTGACAATGGCTGCATTTGTTTACCCTCAATAAATATGCGGAAAAATTAAAATGGTCGTGCCCAACTGAGTCTGGTTTCCCTCTCTGCTGTCGCCTCTAGCTTGCATGGTTTGGGATCGGTAGAGCTACCCATTGATGAATATGCTCTTCAGTGTTTGGACTCTAAAGTTTTTATTACACACCTTTTGTATTTTTCACATTTTCCAGAAATTATTCATAGCGCTTTACTTTTTCAGCATTTTTTTTGTTACAGCCGTATTCCAAAATGGATTAAATCTGTTTATTTCCTCAAAATTTTACTCACAATACCCCATAATGACAATGTGAAAAAAATATATTGTTATATATATATGTGTTATATATAAATTGTTGCAGATTTATGAAAACTGGAACCACCAGGACTCTTCCTAGAGCTGGCCGGCCATCTAAGCTGAGTGATCGGGGAACAAGGGCCTTAGTCAGGGAGGTGATCAATAACCCGATGTTCACTCTGTCTGAGCTCCAGCGTTCTTTTATGGAAAGAGGACAACCTTACAGAAGGACAACCATCTGTGCAGCAATCCACCAATCAGGCCTGTATGGTAGCGTGGCCAGACGGAAGCCACTTCCCACCTGGAATTTTAAAAAAGGCATCCAAAGGACTCTCAGACCATAAGAAACAAACTTCTTTGGTCTAATTAGACTAAAATTTAACTCTTTGGAGTAAATGCCAGGTGTTACAATTTCAAGAAAACCAGGATATAGAGGGAAAGTAGGGAAAATGCAGCAATGTACAGAGCCATCCTGAATGAAAACCTGCTTCAGAGTGCTGGACTTCAGATTGGGACGACGTTTCATCTTCCAGCAGGACAATGACCCAAAGCACACCACCAAAATATCAATAAAGTGGCTTCACAACAACTCGGTGAAAGTCCTTGAGTGGCTCAGCCAGAGCCCAGACCTAAATCCTTTTAAAACATCTCTTGACATATCTGAAAATATACACCGTCGCGTCACATCCAACCTGATAGAGCTTGAGAGGTATTGCAAAGAGGAATGGGCAAACATTCCCAAGGACAGGTGTGCCAAGCTTGTGGCATCATATTCAAAAAGACTTGAATCTGTAATTGCTGCCAAAGGTGCATCAATAAAGTATTGAGGAAAGGCTGTAAATACTTATGTACATGAGATTCTTCAGTTGTTTTTAATACATTTGTTAAAAAAAAAAAAAAAAAAAACGTTTTTCTCATTGACATTATGGGGTATTGTATGTAGAATTTTGAGGAAACAGATGAATTTGATCCATTTTGGAAAAAGGCTGTAACAAAAAAAAATGTGGAAAAAATGAAGCGCTATGAATACTTTCCGTATGCACTGTACATGCAATGCTTTTTAATGCCCACACCTAACACTACCCTTCACAGTGACGTCACTGGCTCCATTGAGTGCATAGTGTCTGACTTTGCATCTCTGAGATATGCAATCTCAGCATGCATCTAGACACTACTGGCCTACCTTTTGTTGTGTTTTGTACAAAAATGCACATTTGCATTGTACTTAATGTGTTTTAAATGCAAATGACACATTATTTAAAGAAAGATAAATAGTGTTGACTTGTGATGCATGTTTTGGATGTTTATTAAAAACAAGTTATGTAGTAAAAATTGTTCTGGGCCTTTGACATTAATTAAAATTTAGATTTGGACCTTTTAATTTAAACATTAAGAACCCCTGTTCTTTAACAAGCTATTTGTTCAAAAAAGGAGCTTTTATTCATCAAATATTTAGACCCAGTAGTATTACGCTTTGATGTGCATAACAAAAATATTCCTATAACCTAATACAGAATTTCTTCACTGAATGAGGAAATGCAGCATTTTTAATAT